TTTATAGCGCAGTGGAAGATTTAGATACAAGTCCCGACCTGACCGGGACTGACCTCTTTCACGTAGTATAAGATAGCGAAGCATAATGCTAGAATACTAATGACTAGCCCAATCAATGTTTCAATGCAGACAAAACATACATCATGCTCATCACAAGGTGTGAAGGGGACCTGGCGCTATACACAGGAAAGAGGCGCCAGGTCCAGACATACACAGACGAAGAGGAGGGGATCAGACGAAGAAGAGGAAGGGGGAGATGGGAAAGTAGTCAACACCAAGTCTCGTTACAAGCCCCAAATAATCCCTCTTCAAAATGTCTGAAGTCCAACGTCGAGTCTGGATCCAATTGTCACCAAGCTCTCTCTCTCCCCCTCGTAGTCTGCTGATGCAGTGAAGTCAGATAGCGAGAGGGTGAGAAGGAGATGGTGGACTGAGAAGAGGAAGAAGAAGAACTCTCTCTCTCTCATGTGCCAGGTACTAACCTGTGAAGATGGTGCTGTGCTGCAGGTACCTCGAAGACGAAGCTGAAGCAATGGCGCTGCAGGTAAGTCCCTCTGGCCTCCGCCGAATCTCTCTCTCTATAGTACTGCTCTAGCTGCTATGGCACCCAGCGCTGAAGACTACAGCTAACGCTACTAGCGCCCAGCGCTGAAGACTACTGCCAACGCTCCCACTACTACTGCAGCGCTCCTCCAGAGTGCTGCTGCCGAATCCTGAAGACTACCTCCTGCCTCCTGAACTGCACGTGAAGTGCCTGGGAAGTACCTAGGAACCACCTGCCTGCCTGCATGGTGGGTCAGTCCTATATAGTGCTGGCCCGTCCAGGAGGCTGCTCTTGCCAATGCCGAAACGTGCCAGACCCTGGCATTGAAGCTCAACCAGCGGTTGTCTTGAAAACAGGCCCAAAATGGCCTGTGCCTGGTTTGTTGCCTGAGTTTCAGGGCAGGTCGAACTGATGAGGGCCCGGAAATGACCCTCAGTTTCAGGCTGAAAACACTCAGGGCCGGAAAGGCCCTGATTTAGCCTGAAACAACACAGGGCCTGTAGGCCCTTGTTTTCAGGCTTTCAGGCTGAAACGACACAGGGCCTGTAGGCCCTTGTTTTCAGGCTTTCGGCCTGAAAACGTCACGGGCCTGGGAATGGCCCGTGCAGCCTGTTGCAGGCGCAGCATGTAACAAAATTTTTCTCCTGCAATGTTATTGCAATGGACTCGAATGGAGTATTTCCTAAAGGGGAGGAGTGGCTCACAATTTTTCAAAGCTGTCTGGAAAGGAAAACATGTAATGACCCGACCGAACACGGACTGAGACACACAGCTGACTTCTGAGTTTTGCTCATGGACTGAATGCCTTGCTGAGTTTCCCGCTTGCTACTGAGTTCTCCAAGTCTGTGTGTGTGCACGCTTGCTGGTCTGCACGTCTGTCTGAGTGCTTGTCGGCTTGAGTGTGTGTGTGACCCGCCTTGTTCGCTCATTGGGCTCGAAGGGCCGGTACTTACCTGTGGCCGTGACATTGAGGATTGCAGCGGGGAAAACACTCAAGTGGAGGGGAAAGAGACCTGCAACACTTGAAGCAGCGGGGAAACAATCAAGTAGCAGGTAGGCCGGTACTACACCCTGTAGAGGTAGATGTACCGGGTACTCGAGGCCGAGCAGAAGAAGACAAAAGTTGGCATTTTTAGAGGCCCAGTAGTTGTAGGCTAGGTCTAGGCGGTTACCAGTCCAACCAGTCTGAGTCTAGGGCCTGTAAGGGCAATATCAGAGTCTGCAATGATGTTTCCCTCCGGAAGGGAGGTGGTACCGGTTGCTTGGAAGGCCGAGCGGCCTGGAAGTCACAGCCCAAGAGGCAAGTAGGCCGCTATATCTCCAGGCCGAGCAAAGAGCTCGGCCTCATTGTCGGTGTGCAAGTTTGGCGACACAAAGGTTGGAGCGCCGGCTGGGGCAGCACTAGCTTGGAGCCGCGCTGCTGGGGAAGGAGCAAGGAGATGGAGGAGGAAGAAGACCTGGGCTAGGAAGGGGAGCGCCAGAGGTACTTACCTGGCTATGGTGGTTGCCATCTTAATCACCTTGGTGGGCGCTGCAGCAGGAAGACCCCCATTGGGGCAGAGCTACACCAAGAAGCTTCGAGGCAGAGTCAGGCATGGCGGCCTGAGCTAGAGCAGCCATAGCTGCCGTGTGTTGTCCTTCGAACAGCTGGGCCAGGCCCTGGTCGTCCGCCATAGCCTCGGCCCATGACAGTGAAGAGGGAGAGAGGCGGCCATGGCTATGGTAGACCTCAAGTGATACCTGCAGTAGAAGAGGGATTCGGACATTGATTCTGGTTCAGCCATTCAAAAGTGTATTATTATTTCTCGTGTGAATAAGAGAGGAGGAGACAAGGAGGAGGAGAGTGTTTGGCGAAGAAGGAGAGCATTATCATTGGTCTATGCTGGTGTACATCATCTTCTTCTTCTTTCTTTCTCCTTCTTCTTTTTACCCTCTCTCTCCTCTCGAGTTCATTCATTTCTTTTTACAACTGGACGGCATTGTACTATCTGATGAATGTGTACTTCGAAATTGGCCAGGATCATAACAAACAACACAAACTTGGGAATACTGGTCGAAGACTCGTCCTCCTTATCATGTCCTGATCAGAATGGTACAATTGAAGTGACCTATCATGTCAACGAAAATGGCATCAGCAAAATCAATGAGCAGATGAGAACCACATGCACTTGAAGAACTAGCAGCTGATAAAACTCGTCATGAGGTCGATACACGTGTCTTGCAAACTGTTACCGCAACAACCCCTTTTCCACCCCCATGAGCAGATCCAAAATTCAAACACCTTACCTAAAAAGCAAACAGCATAAAGCACACTAAGATGAGAAGATCTGAAATTGAAACAGCTCTACCTCTACAGCGATCAATATGACGCACACTAAAACTGTTATAATGTTTTTTCCTTGTAAGGTCCCTTCTTTGATTTCCTTACTTTGGCTTTCTTCGGAGTTTCCCTTTTATTTCTTCTTGCAGCTCCTCACGTTGATTGTGGTTGAGCGCAAGCTGCCCACATCCCCATGTGCCATAACGGCCCACTTGCACGCTATTAAAGGAGGCAGACTAAAGGGAGAGGTACACTCCTGTTCATTTTTCAGCACACCTTCAGCTCAGATTTTGTCTGTTCTCTCAATGATGCTCAGTTGTGGGCATTTAGCAGTACTACACAAGGCGAGGGAGAGGAAGGAAAGGGAGGGGGAGGAGATCTACACAAAGGGAGGGAGGAGGGAGAAGGGGAAGAGGAGGGAACGGAAGAGACAAGGAATGGAACAGATGAAAGATAAATTTCACATCGTTCCAGTACTCACCGAAGAAACTAAGTGCATGGCATAGTCTTCTTCAGGAGCCGATGGAGGGTTGATGAACTCCCCTTCCACACCCACACACCTTTGCTTTAAGACGTTGGAAAAGTCAAAAGATGAAACCTATTGCTTGGCCACCCAGACGTTTGTCAGATTACCCCCACATGATTCCCCCAGTCATTTGTAACTTTACAAAGTGACAATTGGCATCTAACAAAGAATAGTGAGATGTTCTGGTTGGGCCACCTGCTTTTCACTGCCAGCTAAGGCACACTCAGGCACCTCTGGAGGGTCACTAGCAGCTTTCTGCCATACCAGCGGCAGCTGCATGTAGCTCAGGTGGGCTTCGGAGACGAAATAAATATATGGAGTCGTCTACTGTGCTGGGGCAAGCTCTTCATGACTTGCTAGACATTCCTTCCTTCATTTGCTTTCTATGACAGAACGCTAGAACTTCCCCTTTGATAAAATTTGACGTTGAATGTGTCCAATGGCCTGGACACTGCACAGTTCATTGTAGTGGTCATAGAGCCATATCCATCTCCCCCCCAAAAAAATGATTTCAGATTTGGATTCCAAGTTTTATAAGAGATTGAAAACACATTTTGCGAACAGAAACCTCTAGAATGGGCTTCGTAAATCACTGAATAGAGGACTCACATTGGTTCATCAAACTCGGAGATGTAGATAGCCAGCTGGTGGTTGTTAGAGCTTTTGGCACACTCGCGCAGAGCCTTTGCATCATGGTGGTCATGCACGATGAATGCCTCGAGTGCTCTCCCAAGCGCCACTTCAATCGCCTGTGCCCAATTCGGGTCCAAAAGGCTCTGTCATGTCAAAGAAACACCTAACAGAGTCAGGCCCTTTCTCTGTTCCTTTTCAGTCTTTTCTAGGATTCTGAGGGTATACTCTATTCTTCCACAGCCAGGCACACACTCCTATGCTGTTGAGCTGGGGCATTTCACAATCCAGCTTTGATTCTTGACTTTCTCCCGGGCCTTTGATAGACTGGACGTCAAGTTTTCCAGGCCTTTCAGGCCCTCAACCAGTACCCAGCGGGCTAAGAATCCTATTGTAGGACTAGACTGCCAAACATGGTCATATAGGACCCTGTGATGGCTACCCCACTTACTCAGACTTCTGATACCCCAGACTTGGGATGCACATGCAAGTGACTGTTCATGCGAATGACAACGTACATGTGTGCCAAACGGGGCGAGAACTCTTAGCAAAATACGCCGCATCTTAAACCACCACTGCATCCGGACATATTTTGACAAACCAAACATTGCATTTCCCCCAGTGTTACATGCTGCGCCTGACAACGGCCCCATTTGCGGGGCCCGACGGTTGCTGAGGGGCCCCAGGCCGCATGCCATCCAGCACGCGCCCTGGAGGCCCACGGCGGCCTTTTGGGCCACAGGCACAGCCTGAGGCAGCACTCAGTTATTTACTTAGTTATTTATTTATGTATTTACTATTTATTTATTTACTTACGTGCTGTCTTATTTTTGTCTGTGCAGATGTCGTTTCGGGCTGACAGGCCCCAAGGCGACGCCTTGGGCCAGGTACACAGGGCCGATGCCTTTTTGAGGCCAGGAGCATTTTGGCGCCTCGCTGCATCAGCAGCGCGGTCTGGATACCCAGTAGGGGCCCAGACCAAGTAGGCCGTTTTGAGGCCAGTACGTGCGGACGCCCAGCAGGCCCAGCGCTACTTATAGCTGGGCTGGGGCTGGGCTGGGGACAGTTCGGGTAGCTCACTTCTTGAGCGACATGCTGCTGGTTGGAGGCTGCGCTATTTTGGCGCTGCGCTATAAACTCATAGTGCCCGTATCTGGTCCTGAACGCCGTCTTGTGCTGATCATCATGATGAACCTCTATCTGATGATAGCCCGACTTCAAATCTACCTCAGAGAAGTATCTGCAGCCCTGCACTCAATCCAACAAGTCATCTATTCGAGGCAGTGGTTCTGTGTTCTTCACTGTGATGGCGTTGAGACCCCTATAGTCTATACGCACCCCTATAGTCTATACACATTCTCTCAACTCTCCCTCCTTTTTGGGGACAAACAGAATAGGCGCTCCAAACGGAGACGAACTGGGCCTAATCCAACCCTTCTCGAGGAGCTCGTCTAACTGCTTTCGCAGCTCCTCTAGCTCCCTTGGGGACATTCTATACATCGCTCCTTTGGGAGTTCTACTGCCAGACTCTATCTCAATTCGATGCTGGATTGGCCGCTGTACTACCCCTGTAGGCGGCTCAGACAGATCTGCATACTCCTCCAGCAACTTGGCAATGTGAGGATCTATCGGCTCTTCGGTCTTAGGCTCAGTGATTGGCTTAACATAGGCAACGAAAACCTGTTCTTCTAGCTTCTCCTTCTTCACTAACCTTGCGAATGCAGGAGCGCTGAGGCAGCAATGTGCTAAGAGGTTCTCTACCCCTGACACATGAAACAGGCGGGCAGTCTTGACTCCACTTGAAGGGCTAGGGAGCCTACACTCATGCTCTCTTAAACGAAGTGTGGGCCCTGCTGCCTCTCCCCAGTCCATTCCTAGAACTATATCAAATGGGAGGTTGTCTTCTACGAGGAGAGTCAGGGAATGGAGAACCCTCTCTACCTTCCCATCCTTCTCTTGGCGGAAATAAGCCTGGACTCCCTCGACATAATCCTTGACTTGCATCGTGCTATTGTCTGCGAGGATTCCGACTATAGGTTCCTCCAACTTTCGGACCTTTAGATTCAGCTTTAGCTTCTTTAACGCTTTACGACTAACATAGCTAAGGGTAGCCCCACTGTCTATAAGGGCCCCTACTCTACCTCTGAAAATCTCCACATCTACCAATACTAGCTGTCCTTTTTCATCCATCTTCATCTTGGCCCAGACAGGCATCCTCTCCTGGAATTCTTCTGCCACGCCTGCGAGGGAAGTGCCTAGAGAGACTCTAACGCAAGCAGTCCCTAGACAGCTTTCTAGGCACTGGCCAGCAACCTCTACTGTAGACAGATGTGGTCTGGGAGTTTCTCTATGGTGACTCTTCTACACGTGGTCTAGGGGTAAGGGCAATTGCGACCCCTACCGGCGGTTGCCTTTTGCTGCCTGTGCAGCAATTCGGGCCTCTCTATACTTGGGGCAGTATTTGATAATGTGACCTGGATCACTGCCGTAAATGCACTGATCCTGGTCTATCCTTTTTTGCCAGGCTTTCTGAACAAGACCCAAATCTTCCCAAGGCCTAGCCTGTGGCAAGCCAAGGTGCCATCCACCCCTCCTGTAATGTGATCGATTGGAACGTGGACGGTTTTGTGGGAAACCTTGACCCCTGCCTCCCTCTTGGCGGTTTCCCCTGCCGCCAAACCCCCGGTCGTCCTGTCCTCGACCACTTGAGGCCCGGCCCCGACCTCCTCCTCTTCCTTGCGGCCTCCCTCCAGCCGCGACAGCAGCATACGACCTCCCCTGACCTACGCTCCTATCCTCCTCCTTGAGGCCCAACTCTATCTTGCTATACGGGACCTCCTCCATTCCTCCTTCACCCAATGTCAGGATCAGGCTATCCTTCCCCTTCACCTGCATTGAAATGGTACGACGCTTCCACTTCTTACCCTTCTCGAAATCTCTATGCCAAAAGGTCTTCTGCTCTCGCAACTTGTCATAGAAATGCCCGTGCAAAGTCTCGAGCATCACATGATAAAATAATTGAACCAACTGTGGCTCAGTGACCCCATGATTAGGAACTGCGAAAAGCTCGTCCATAGCCCCCTTGTGTAACAAGCGTGAGGCTGAGGGTGAGCCGAGGGAAAGGACAGAGAGGGAGAGAGTGAGAGCACACACACACACTTACTCACTCGACTCGACGGACTCGGACTGAGGGTCGGACGCAGACACAGTGGTAAGGCACAAAGTCGAAGTCTTGGATTCCGAATGTCGAAACAGCAAGTCACACTGAGTACGAGTACAGCAGCAGAGAACTGGTACGAGACTGCCCCCCGTACCGTACGGGGAGCCAGTATAAGTACCGGTGACACGTACGGTACCAGGGGCATTTCTGCAAAGGCCCCGAGGGCAGAACTGAAAAATGCAGTATTTCAACGTGGCGCCCGAATTGCAGCATGGCGCCAGTTGTCCAAAATCCTATGGTACCAAAGGAGGGGTTTGGAAAAAGGGTGCCAGGCCGAGAACGGGATG